AATCAAACAGGCCTACTGTTAGCCAACTAACTCTAGTCTCCGCCGCGTCTATTATGTTTCTATCCGTAATATTAAGTCTATGACTCGCTATGCCCTAGTCTCTTGTACCAACCCACAAATGCTCGGGTTCTACATTGAACTTAATAAAAACAAGTAGCACCACAACATTTGTGGGTTGGCGCACGAGAGACTAGGGCATACAAGTCATAGACTTGGTATTACGGATAAAAACAGAATAAACGCAGTGGAAACTAGAGGTAGTTGACTGACAGTAGGCCTGTTTGAACATAGACGTGATCCATAAAGCAAAAGCTTGACCATGAAAATTACTCAGGGGCTTTGGACTCAAGTTAATCTCACAGAGGCAGGGTAGAAAATAACGCCTCGAGTATCCCAAATAAGGTGGCAGGGGTCGAGTGAAATACTTAAACCAGGGAGATGGGAGACGGATTCTGAGATACTGATAAGACATATGGAAGGACGGCGTAACAACAGGGCCGACTTTGATCAGCATTTCCTGCACAAGGATGAAAGGGGTGAGAAAGCCAGCGTCGGTGTGGATATTTCTCATGAAATCCGCTCAAAAGGGCACACCATACCACAATCAAATAGGCAAATAAAAAATATGATAGTGAAAGTGATACGAGGACAAAGCGTTGGTGATTAGCCAAGAGCGGAGGGAACGATACCACGACTGGCAGGTAATTGACCAATGCATCGGCTATATACGCATTGTAGTGTAATGATAAGATTGGCAATGCTCAGTGACGATGCCGGCGAAAGATCTTGGAATGTGGCACGTTCACGGTCATAATATAGAAAATATCATGCATATTATGGACTCCAGACTAGGTGCACTCCTCCAGGTTTTACTACCAACATGATCAATTACGAAAACGAGAGCAGGCAACTCGCCATGTCTTTTTCTGGGAAAAAAGTCTTTGATGGCCAATTGCTGATGTTAGGCTCTCTTGTAATTACAACGAATTTTTATACAGATTTCTTTGTTTAACACGCACGAAAAAGTCTACGAAAACACTAAAGAATATAGATGCTGTTCAACCTCAACATGAATTGGCTGGATCATTGTCCACCTATATCGTCTAGATAAGTATGGCCGGACGATCTACCTAATGTAGTGGACGTTAAATTTTTGCTAAAATAAGTTCCAGCCCTGAAAACACCCTCAATGTAACATACAGTCCTTCTTACTCGTCGAACGAGGTTTTCTTATGAACCGTGGCAGCTTGAACTTTGTACGAAATTAGACGACCGAACAGAAGCGAAAATAAGCCTCCACATAACAAAGTAGGACTAAAAGCTTCCCCATCATAAAATCCCGCAGGGAATGAAGATCATGTCGACAACACTACTCCTTGAGATTGATGTTGCCACCAAGATATTCGCAAGTAGTTTCCTTACTTCGCCTTGCTCATTCCAAGCATAAGCAAGTACTTTAGCAGTTGGTCCAGCATGCAAATCACACGTGAACTTAATCGCATACCAGAGGCAATGGTAAGAGTAAAATTATAAAAAGACCTTCTTAGGATCCCTACAACAAAGGCAACATTAAATGGCCACGTTCTAAGTGATGACTGAAAGCTCATAAATATTATAGACCCAACAACTGCATAATGCAAAAAGACCGAATATGAGGAGCAAGTGGCAAAATGAGGCTTGGTTAAAGTAGAAGGGTTGTCTTTGAGTTGCTATAATATAAAGTTTCTTTGAGAAGGATTCATACAGGAAGGATACTGTAAAATCAAAATTCCTACAACCTCAAGGTCAAAATAGATTGATTGCGATCTCGCTCATAGCCAAATTTCATAACGCAACGTCCCACGATTTGGTCTTGCAAATGATTTCCTCAAGGCTAGTGCACAAGAAGTGATAGCGAAATGCCAAAGCGTGCTGACACATTGTTGCAGATGATGCCTGTGCCTATTAGATTAATAGAAAATATGCTGGACTCCATCTTGGATGTCTCTTTAAATGGTGGTTGTCTGTCCGACAAATTTCGCTGCAAGACAGTCTAAATGAAAAGGATTTCTCCCAGGTGTCAGATGATGAGGAAAGCAAATGATAATCTCCACTCTTCGAATATACAAGGGGCCTTAGCGACCAAACACGTTCCCTGGGAAAAATAAGATGAATAGGTCAGAGACCTGAGCGCATGCATAAGTATAACTTTGCAGAAATTAGACCAAGCCACGTTGCTGATAAGGCTTGGAATTCCACCTTAAGTATTTAATGTCTAAAGTATTGATATGCAAAGCTGCCGCAAACTACAAAGCTTAGAACCGATGTCGCCTTCAAAATATGTTACACTCATGTCATAAATTATGTTCACTTCCGTTTGTCGGAGCTAGCGTCGCATATACCAGACGCAATTAGGTTGGGCGTGAATAGAGATGCTCTCAACCAAGAAGCTAGTCAGCAGGGAACACTGATGGTGAATCCAACGCTGATCGCGATTATAAAATCCTGGGCCTAAGATCATGTGTGGACTAATCATTAGTGTGGAGGACAAGTGAATGTTAGTGTAAAATATACCTTCAGATGAAAAAGCAGTCGGGACCAAAACAACTTCCCAAAATCCATAAAAAAACGTCGCTATAGCTTTCAACTTAGCCTTAAATAGTGTTCTGACAGAGCAAATAGTTGTACGATTCATCTTTTGCAATATCGCGCCTAAATCCGAGTACAACCAATTCTACGTGTGAATAAACGTAAGATCAAAGAATTAATGGGTTAACAGATATGTCTTTCCCTAAATTGTTTACAGTCTCAAATGTATAAAAATGGAGGAAAAGCAAGTTCCATCAAAGGAAGTGATTGCATTGTAGATGGACGAAATTCTCTTGGGTGGTTGCACTTAACGGCCCATTTTGAGTTCAATTCGCTTGTCTGTGTATTCAGCCAAGCGGATTCTCTCTGTCTGCAGTGTACATCTCATTTTCTTCAAGTGCAGTGAAGTTAAGAAAATGAGAAGGTCTGTGAACACGGTGGTAGAATTTCTTTGGCTTCAATGGAGCCAGCTCATACTTCATATTTGGGTCATGACGAACACCTGAAGTAATAAAAAATCGCTCATAAATGACATGCAATTAGGTATAATGTAATACATAAAAGATATCAATGAAGATATAAGCAGACACCGAATGAGAGGGAGATAGATCTATTCCGTTTCAACAGCTAGTACGCAAGCTGGTGGCATGGAGCAGAAAAATAGAAGTTCCTGATTTTAAACGACATGGATGAAAAAATCAAATTCACAATGGACGTTACAGAGAAAGGATACTTACCTTTCTTCTTAAGATCAACGACTTCATAGTCAGTAAATTTCATATGATTTATTATTTTTTAAATGTATCTGATAAGGTTCTGATTTGTCTTAAGTTTCAGTCAATCCAATAGCATGAGCCGAGCCAAGCGGAATAATTAATATACCACAAGAACCCAGGTAAAGTTGGGTTCATACCAGTTAGGGTGGCTACTTAAGCGAGCAGTCTTCAACAGCCGCAGTAAGCTAACAATTAATACTACAAATTACATGATTTTGAAAATAGCGACTAATAGCAAAGGAACTGTAATAAAAAGGAAGAATGGAGTTAAAAGGACTCAAGGGAGGCTCACCCATGAAATTATAATTCCAGGATGTCTGAGGTGGCACCATAAAGAAACCAAGGAATCTGTCAGACAGCAACATCTGAACACGTTCATAATGGCTAGGTAAGTAGCCCTTGGGATTATTACCCTTGTCAGTGTTCTGTTTGCCCCATTCATACCCGCCGGGAGTCAGCTTGTAGGCACAAAGAGATACCGAACCGGGAGTAAAACTGCAAGTTATTACGATTGTCCGATCACCATCTTGATCACTGTAGACCTTGGCATGTGTGGTAATGTCCTAAAAGAAAATGGCGGTAATTTTTATTTTAGCAATTAGTCAGGGAAAACAAGAACTAACCACAAATGAAAAACAAAAGTACCTGAGGAGATAATTGTGGCAATTCATTCGGCTGAGTGTGGATCCATCCAAGTGGCTCCATCTCCTTCAGATAATCATCTTGAGGCAGACCATTTGGTAAGTGAACTGTTTGGTGGGTGCCCCATTGTGGTGGCATTACAATACATCGGATCTCCTTTATCTGTGAATTATCTGCAGGTGATACACCATAAAGATACCCTGCAATCTATAATGGCAAAAATAAGTTTGAACATAAGTAATGATATAGGACGCAAAGCAACAAAGCATTGCGAAAAATAATAATTCGTAAAGTTATCCCTTCGATTTTACCAAATGAGATGTGCCAGACGATAGTCTATATTCAATATGATTTCTAGCTGGCAGAGCAACCGTAAGAAAGCAATGTAGTCTAGATTAGAAGCTATGAAGTATATTTAGTTCCCAGAAAGAGTTCTAAACTAAATTCAAAACCAAAATTAAAATGAGGGGAAATATGACTAAGTGACAAAAACAATGCAATATGTAATAAATGACTGTTAAGATGACTTTAATTTCATGTGATACAATAAGATTCTTGAGCAAATCTAATCAGGAAAAAATGACGAATTCCCCCTGGTCT